TGATATCTTCTTCAATTTCTTTCTTTAGAGATTTAAAGTTCTTATCAAAAAGGTCCTTCACTTGTTTAGTTAGTGTTATCCCAAGGTATTTGCTATTATTTGTGGCTATTGTAAAGGGTGATGTTTCTCTGACTTCTTTCTCAGTCCTTTTATCATTTGTGTATAGGAGGGCTACTGATTTTTTTGAGTCGATCTTGAGCCACTTTACTGAAGGAATTTATCAGCTGTAAGAGTTCCCTGGTTGAATTTCTGGGGTCACTTATGTATACTATCATATCATCTGTAAATAGAGAAAGTTTGACTTCTTCCATTCCGATTTGTATCCTTTTGATCTCCTTTTGTTGTCTTATTGCTCTAGCTAGAACTTCAAGTACTATATTGAATAAATATGGGGAGAGTGGACAGCCTTTCTTGTTCCTGATTTTAGTGGAATTGCTTTGAGTTTCTCTCTTTTTAATTTGATGGTGGCTGTTGGCTTGCTGTAAATTTCCTTTATTGTGTTTAGGAATGTTCCTTGTATTCCTGATCTCTCTAAGACTTTTATTATGAAGGGGTTTTGGATTTTGTCAAAGGCTTTTTCAGCATCTAATGAGATGATCATGTGGTTTTTTTTTCTTTCAGTTTGTTTATATGGTGTATTACATTGACAGATTTTCATATGTTGAACCATCCTTGCATCCCTGGGATGAAACCTACTTGGTTGTGATGGATAATTTTTTTGATTTGTTCTTGGATTTGGTTTGCCAATATTTTGTTGAGTATTTTTGCATCAATGTTCATGAGGGAGATTGGTATGTAATTTTCTTTCTTTGTTGCATCTTTGTGTGGTTTGGGTATCAGGGTAATTGTAGCCTCATAAAAAGAGTTTGGTAATGTTCCTTCTGTTTCTGTTGTGTGGAATAATTTGAAGAGTATTGGAATTAGCTCTTCTTTGAAATCTGGTAGAATTCTGCACTGAATCCATCTGGTCCTGGGTTTTTTGTTTTTTTGTTTTTTTTTGGGTTGGGAGCCTTTTGATGACTGTTTCTATTTCTTTAGGGGTTACTGGTCTATTTAAATAGTTTATCTGGTCTTGATTTAACTTTGGTATGTGGTATCTTTGCAGAAAATTGTCCATTTCTTCCAGATTTTCCAATTTTGTGGAATACAGGTTTTTGAAGTATGACCTGATGATTCTCTGGATTTCCTCATTGTCTGTTGTTATGTCTCCCTTTTCATTTCTGATTTTGTTAATTTGGGTGCTCTCTCTTTGCCTTTTGGTTAATTTGGCTAGGGGTTTGTCTATCTTGTTGAGTTTTTTAAAGAAACAACTCTTTGTTTCATTGATTCTTTGTATTGTTTTCTTGATTTCTATTTCATTGATTTCAGCCCTCAATTTGATTATTTCCTGAAGTCTATTTCTCCTGGGTGAGTTTGTTTCTTTTTGTTCTAGAGCTTTCAGTTGTGCTGTTAATTCATTGGTATGGGATTTTTCCATCTTCTTTATATGTGCATTTAGAGCTATGAATTTTCCTCTTAGCACTGCTTTCATAGTATCCTATAAGTTTGGGTATGTTGTACTTTCATTTTCATTGAATTCTAGGAAATCTTTAATTTCTTTATTTCTTCCTTGACCCATTGATGTTTCAGGTGGGCATTATTCAGTTTCCATGAGTTTGTGGGTTTTCTATAATTTTTGTTGTTATTGAAATCTAACTTTAAGGCATGGTGGTCCGATAAGATACAGAAGTATTCCAATGTTTTTGTATCTGTTGAGATTTGCTTTGTGACCAAGCATGTGGTCAATTTTTGAGAAGGTTCTATGGGGTGCTGAGAAGAAGGTATATTCTTTTGTGTTAGGATGGAATGTTCTGTAGATATCTATTAAGTCCATTTGAGTCATAACATCTGTTCGGTCCTTTATTTCTTTGTTAAGTTTCAGTCTGGTAGATCTGTCTTTTGGTGAGAGTGGTGTGTTGAAATCTCCCACTACTAATGTGTGGGGTTTGATGTGCTACTTAAGCTTTAGTAATGTTTCTTTTATAAATCTGGGTGCCTTTGTATTTGGGGCATAAGTGTTCAGAATCAAGACTTCATCTTAGTGGATTTTTCCCGTGATAAATATGTAATATTCATTCTGATCTCTTTCGATTGATTTTAGTTTGAAGTCTGTTTTATTAGATATTAGGATAGCTACACCAGCTTGTTTCTTAGGTCCATTTGCTTGGAAAGCCCTTTACTCTGAGGTAATGTCTGTCTTTGAAGTTAAGGTGTGTTTCTTGTATGCAGCAGAAGGATGGATCCTGTTTTCTTATCCATTCTGTTAGTCTGTGTCTTTTTATAGGTGAGTTGAGACCATTGATACTGATGGATATTAATGACCAGTTATTGTTAATTCCTGTTTTTTTTTTGTTTGTTTGTTTGTTTTTTTGGTGGTAGTGTTGTTTTCCTTCTTTGGTATTTGTTGGTGTGGGGTTTTCTATTGCTTGAGTTTTCGTGGGTGTGTTTAGCTTCTTTAGGTTGGATTTTTCCTTCTAGTGCTTTCTGTAGGGCTGGATTTGTGGATGGTATTGTTTAAATCTGGTTTTATCATGGGATATTTTGTTTACTCTGTCTATGGTGATTGCGAGTTTTGCTTGGTATAATAGTCTGGGTTGGCATCCGTGGTCTCTTAGTGTCTGTATAAGATTTGTCCATGATCTTCTAGCTTTCATAGTCTCTATTGAGAAGTCTGTTGTTATTCTGACACCAGAATATAAACATATAAAGGGTCTGCCTTTATATATTACTTGGTCTTTTTCCTTTTCGGCTCTTAATATTTTTTCTTTGTTCTATATGTTGAGTGTTTTGATTATTATGTGGCAAGGGGACTTATTCTTTGGATCCAGCCTATTCAGTGTTCTGTAAGCGTCTTGTATTTTCATAGGCATTTCTTTCTTTAGGTTAGGAAAGTTTTCTTCTATGATTTTGTTGAATATATTTTCTGTGCCTTTGAGTTGGTATTCTTCTCCTTCTTCTATCCCTATTATTCTTAGGTTTGGTATTTTCATGGTGTCCCAAATTTCTTGGACGTTTTGTATTATGACTTTTTTGTCTTTAGTGTTTTCTTTGACTGACAAATCTATTTTCTTTATTGTGTCTTCAGTATCAGAGATTCTCTCTTCCATCTCTTGCATTCGGTTGGTTATGCTTGTTTCTGTAGTTCCTGTTCGTTTAGTCAGGATTTCTATTTCCAGCATTCCCTCAGTTTGTTTCTTCTTTATTGTCTCAATTTTAATTTTCAAATCTTGAACTGTTTCCTTCGTCTGTTTAATTGCTTTTTCTTGGCTTTCTTTGATTTCTTCCCATTTTTTGTTTGTTTTTTCTTCCATTTCTTTAAGGGAATTTTTTTATTTTCTCTTTAATGGAGTTTTTCATTTCCTCTTTAATGGAGTTTTTAATTTCCTCTTTAAGGGCCTCTATCATCTTCTTAAAGTCATTTTTAGGATTGATTTCTTCTGCTTCTTCTGCCTTGGTATGTTCAGGTCTTGCAGGTCTAGAATCACTAGGTTCTGATGTTGTCATATAGGTCTTTATGTTGTTGCCTGTATTTTTGCACTGGCGTCTACTCATCTCTTCCTCTGCTCGGTGTAGGCGGTGTCTGTGTCTATAGGTGCTTCTCTTGTTCTAATTGTTAGTCTTGGTCCACTAGGAGTTCTTGGTCAAATCAGTGCTGTTGGGCTCTGTTTCTTTGGGAGCAGCTTAGTCCAATCAGTGTTAGTGGGTTCTGTCTCAGGGAGCAGTTGTTCCCAATTGGTGCAGGGTGGGCTTATGGTTCCGGTGGTTGTTAGGTTCATAGAGGTTGTTGTTGTTGGTTTTGGTTTTTTTTTTTTTTTTTTTTTTTTTTTTTTTTTTTTTTTTTTTTTTTTGGGTAGTGGGGGAGCAGGGAAAGGTAGCTGTCTAGTCCCTGGGACTCCGTTGGGTAGGACCTAGGGGCTAGAGACCTGGTCTGCCGGTCTGGAGATGAGGGCTTACCTGTTTCCTGTCGGTGTAGGGTGGGCTTATAATTCTGGTGATCTGGTTAGGTGGCTGGGCGGTGCCTTCTTTTGTGTTCTCAGGTCGCATTTTGCTCGTTCGTTAACTTCTCAGCTGTGTCCTCAGACTGCAGACTGTAGGATTCTGAATCCTCTCCCGAATGGATCTCAGCTGAGCAGGTTGTTTAGTAGGGCAATTTCACCATCGCCTCCAAGTTGTTGGGTTTCGCAGGATTGGCAGCTGGGCCTAGGTTGGCCTCAGGCAGAGTGTTCCCAGCATTCTTAATCTAAGACTCTGAGCTCCAACATGTGGAAAATCCCACATCTGACTTCAGGCCCAGGTCAGAATGCACAAAATTATTGAAAACTTTGTATAAAGTTATCTTCAAGCTGTGTATATAAAGCCAGCGAGGGCTGGCGAGATGGTGCAGCAGGCAAAGGCACTTGCTGCTAAACCTGACGACCTGAGTTTGATCCCAAGACCCACATAGTGCAAGGAGAGAACTGACACCCACAAGTTGACCTTTGACCTGCACACATGTGCAGTGGTGCACAGAGAAATAAATAAAATCTAATAATTAAAATAGTTTTAATCGGCATTTCGAATAGGATCGAGGTGCAGGTTTCTGTGGGAGAGTTTGGAGGCTGTGATGGCGGGGGAGGGGCTGTTCTCTTCCTTCTGCTTCCTTCATTTGTGCTGAGTGTGGTTCTGGTGTGTCCTGTGTGTCTGAGGGGCACGACAGCCACACAGAGACCAGTGAAGGGATTTGTCCTTTTGGCTTAGACCAGTTGAAGGCTCTGCAGAGGAGTTACGGGAGGCTGCAGCAGGACATCGTCCAGTTCCAGAAGAACCAGACTAGCCTGGAGAAGAAGTTCTCCTATGACCTGTGAGTATGGCTCGGGATAAGCCCCACCCCCTGGGGAGGGGGGTCCGGGATCTGCGCATCAAAGGCCAAGGACAGAGTCCAGCCTGCTCACTCTGCCAGTCACAGAGCTGGTTCTTTGTCATATGTAGCGTGTGAGAAGGGACTCATGACTTCTGGGATGCATGTCCTTTATAAAACAGCATTCTATTTGGTAAATATCAGCCAGCAGAGTTCATTATGCAGAGTAAGGAAGGAAGGTATGTTTGTGTACATGCACGCATCTGCACTTGGGTGTGTATGTTTACTCACACGCACACAAGCCGTGCTCAGCAGGAAATGAATTGTCACGGTACCATAACATTTATGTGTCATAAACTTAATAATACAGAGCACAGTCGTACCACTTACCTTGGTAATATGAACATTTAAAACATCATGATGGTGTGGAACTGGAGCGGTGGCTCAGTGGTTAGGAGCACTGGCTGCTCTACCAGAGGACCTGGGTTCAGTTCCCAGCATCCACATGGCAGCTCACAAGCAACAGGCACTCCAGTTGACCTTTCACCTGCAGAGACTTCTCAGCCCATGCTCAAGTCATCTGCATGACCTCAGACACCACACTAACATTTTTTCAACTACTTGCCTTATACATACGAAATTCATATAGCTTCAAAGTGTTGCACCATTTAAAAGGTATTTGGGATTTTTTTCTTTCCACAAGACACTCAGCATAGATTTAGCTTGTCACTAGATGCACACTGCCAAATTCCTTGCATTCTTTCTTGTTTTATTTTGAAATGGGTCTTCCTGTATAACCCAGGCTAGCTTCAAATTTGTATAGCTCAGACTGGCCTGGAACTCATGATCTCTCACCCAAGTGCTTGATCACTACACAGTACTTCCCAATTGCTTCCTAAGAGTTAAACTGGGTGTGCAGTCCCCAGCAGCTGAGAAAAATTGCCTCACACATACCAGCCTCATAGAATACCCATGTTCTTTTGAAATACCAGTAACTTACCTGATTTCCTGATTACTTCAAAACCCAATCCTGCAAAAAGCATGATGTCTGGAGCACATTAATATGTTGCATAATAAAAGGGTAGGTGCTGAGCACTGCATCACTAGGCAGGATGGGTGCTGAGCACTGCATCAGTAGACGGGATAGAGGCTGGGCACTGCATCAGTAGGCGGGGTAGAGGCTGGGCACTGCATCAGTAGGCGGGATAGAGGCTGGGCACTGCATCAGTAGGTGGGGTAGGTGTTGGACACTGTATCAGTAGGCGGGGTAGAGGCTGGGCACTGCATCAGTAGGCGTGGTAGAGGCTGGGCACTGCATCAGTAGGCAGGATAGAGGCTGGGCACTGCATCAGTAGGCGGGATAGAGGCTGGGCACTGCATCAATAGGCGGGGTAGAGGCTGGGCACTGCATCAGTAGGCGGGGTAGAGGCTGGGCACTGCATCAGTAGGCGGGATAGAGGCTGGGCACTGCATCAGTAGGCAGGGTAGAGGCCGGGCACTGCATCAGTAGGCGTGGTAGAGGCCGGGCACTGCATCAGTAGGCGTGGTAGAGGCCGGGCACTGCATCAGTAGGCGGGGTAGAGGCCGGGCACTGCATCAGTAGGCGGGA